TGCAAATTAAAATTTTGAGTTTGGAGGCCATTATGATGACGTCATGAGTTAATTGAGGATAAAATGAGACATGAAATCATATTTCCGACTCATCATCTATCCAAATATGAAAAAATATTAGGGGTTTCTATCTATTCTAAAGAGTTACAATGAATTTTATATAGGCATGTTTTTGCCCATGTATTGTAGATAAAAATAACGCAGGTCCGCGCGCGCTGTCAACTTTGACGGACGCTCATTGCGTTATTAAAAGATGAACAAGTTATCAAAATGCTTGGAAAAATGTGCCAAATATGATGACAGAGAAAATTCGGCGATTCTATGTTGCAAAATGCCAGTACGCGCGAAAATGCGCGCGCATGCGCGTGTGCGTAATTTTTTTATCAAATGCTCCATATGGCCTGAAACGGATGTAAAAAAAAATTGGGATGATTTGGAGCAATTTAATTTTTTTCGCGCGCGTAAACGCGCGGACATAAGCGTACGCGCATTTTTGCGCGCATTTATTGACTTGAAATTGACCGGACGGATATTGAGTTTAATCATGATAAATATGAATGAAAAATGGCTTTCCTTTATGAAGATATGATCATAAGTTGATTTTCACAAAATGGCGCCTGGATGACGTCACGATAACCTTGACTGTCTGAAAAGTCACACAGTTCTAAGTTAGACTAAGATCTATCATCATTGAAAGTTTCATGATAATGGCTTTATTCAGTCTTGAGATATCCTGCGAACAAATTCGAGGAAGAATAATAAAAATAAATAATAATAATAATAATAATAATAAAGAAAAATCTTGACGAAATCAAAAGGTGATACGTTGACTTCGTTACGTATCACCTAATAAATTAATACTACCTTTTCTTTTAAAGTGATTATCATCATCATTTGACTTACTTCTCTCATTAATGTGTATTCTTGGACATTAATAAAATCCAGTTCTTATTTATAGAATGTTAAAGAAATAAAATAATACATTGTGAATCTCCTACAGGTAAATATCTACCTAACCATCAGGAGTTACATGACCAGAAGACTCCGGTGCCGACTAGCCCAGGTATGATTGTGATATGAGGCCATATACAGTGTATATTCTAATTTTTATTTGCGTTTGGTGTGCTCCTTATTACCGTTTCTTCTGGATAAGTGTTAAGAATAAAAGTCGAAACTTGATTAAAGGTAAAGACCAGTTCTGGTCATGCGATTGCATTGTGAAAGAAACGTTGTGTAATCGATCAGGAAAGGTTGATCATCTAGCATCTGCAAGGTTCTGGAATCATCAAAATGATAAGAAATTTGGCCCATTCTTCGTAAAGTTACAAGCACTATACACAGAAAGATGTATAATATATATATGGGTAGTCCCATATTATGGGACTACCCTATATCTCTCACAGACCATGAGAGAAATACATTTACCAAATATATGAATTAGTAGGCGGTTTCCCGGCAAATTTTTTATCATCATGTATTAGTCAAAACATATTCTTTCACATGATTGGTAATGAGAGCTTCCATTTCATTTTTTTAAATAGGGGCGTTTCCAATACTGGTCTTTACCTTTAACACTTTGGTTGCCTTCTCTGATTCTGTGCACGGTTGCACTCTTATAAACACAATACAACAAATAGTGAGCCCTAAAAACGAATCCTTATTATTTTCTAAAGCAAGACAATTTCAAGGATCGTGTCTATACTATTCTACTATTCAGGATGACCAGAATGTTAATGTTGAAATACAGGATTTTTCTGCGCCCTGACTTCAATTGGCAGGGGAAAGTATAAGTTTGAAAGCCAACAGCTAATAACAAGCAAACAAGGCAACATATCAAAGTTTTGAAGAATTTCTACTTATAGCGTATACTGGCACATTTTTGCAACGGGGATTTAATATGCCTCTTTCAAAAAACGTGTTTCTGAAATTTGCTCGCTCGCAAGAGGACCACTATGATTTTTTTAATTACTGTGTTACGTTATAACAATACATTGGGTTTAAGATAAAAGGGATTATTGGGGCTTTGTTGTCAAAGGATTATCTTGCTTTTAAGTTTATATGAGCGAGCGAAACGAACAGGATAAAAACACTTAATTAAGGTACAAATGTCATTTAAACATCAATATTTCCTAGATAAGAAAATTATGAACAATTTATATCCAGGTACCTTGTTGCTTAAAGGGATCGTTTAACAATGTTAAATCTGAGATACACGGCCCTACGTGTTTTCAGTGTCTGTGATATGGTGTAATATTGAAGCTCAGAAAAAATCGCGCTTCAAAATGATCAAGAAGTGCCTCAAAAAAGTCTTGAGTGACCGGTTTTACCATACTCGTTTCCCCCAGTAGACTGTAGTGTTATGAAAACCGTTCGGCGAACGGTTTTCAAAGTTTGTAATTCAAATCATAAATATCTTGATAATCAGACAGGCGATCGGCTTGTAAAAGTCATGGAGTTCCTGACTGACCTAAAGGTTTATAGTTATCATTGCAGCATGAGCTAAATCCCAGATTTTGTTTCAGAATCTGAGACAAAGTTTAAATACCGGATCCCTTTAAAGATATTCGGGCACCTTGTTTCCCGAAATTACCATGTTTTGATTTTTGGGAGCGAGAGACGCGTGCGAGCAAAACACACAAGTCTTTATTTTTATTTTATTTTTTTTTGCCACAGAGAAAAAAAACCATGCTTTGATTTCATTTGTTTAACTCACCTCAAAATCTGCGTGTAAGGTTACAAAATTACAGAATGCCGCTCCTCGTATAGTGACCCTCTCCAACAAATACAGTCACATCACACGAGTTCTCAAAGCACTCCGGCCATTAGTTGCCCATTAGTAAACGCATTGACTACAAACATGAATATTGTTTTAAATCACGGTTTTGTCATGTGTTGCGCCAAATTGTGCATCTCATTTGATATATGTATTATATATATATTTTTTTTGTTTTTTTGTTCTATTTACACATGATTTCTCTTTGTTACCATTTGGCTTTACCCCTGTCCTTGCTGTCTCAGGTCAACGCATTATTTCATTATTGATAAGTTTATTATTATCTATGTACAATGCACAGGAGCGGAGGCACATCTTTAAAAGTGGGGAGAGAGCACCAACAAAAAGGGTCACTCTGGGGAAATAGGCGCCTACATAGGGTAATCTCGAAGTGGAAAATATGAAATGGGATATTGATATATTATCCTTTATTTTAAACATTTATATATATTCCGAGTTAGCGTAGCGAGGTAACTTTAGGAAAAGTCTAGAAAATGCCCTCAGTTACTTTGAGGTAAAAGGACGTACGTATGTTATGATAACTAATTTGTTTTCGTGAGAGGAGCATAACAAAACAACTTGGCATCGCACGAATTGTGTTTTTGTCTCCTTTTAAGCGATTTACATATCCCGCGAAGTTGCCTTGATTTGTAAAAGTCCCTCACTGCGTACACCTTTACGTTCTTAAACAAAGGGGGAAACGATTACCTTGACATTCTTTTAAGTTAAAAAGGGCATAGGAATTATTAAAGGACGATAATTTAAAGGTTGGAAGATGTCTCTTTTAGCAAAATGAGTAGATTGATAGTTTAAAGGGGCTTACGTTTAAGCATCATGAAAAGAGCATATATATTAAGTTACCATGGCTTATCAATAGAAGGGGCACTTTATATCATTGGAAATAACCACGATTCATTCCTATGAAATGTTGGGCATTGTGACCCCCCTGTACATGTTACTACACAAAGTAGCTCTAATGCCTTGAACCTAGGCGTGGCTCTTTAAATGAATGCAAACGGGCAAATTGTGAAGCGACACTTGTGATATATACATGAAGGGGTATCAGGGGGCAATATTAAAAGGGACGAGGGGCTATAATCAAAAGCAGCAAGGGAATCTATCAAATTTAAAAATCAAGACTTATTAAATTTGAAAAGGGACATCCATCCAAGGTGAAAGGGGACCCTATTAAGAAGGAGGAAAGGGGCACTTGTCAGAAACTGAAACGACACTTGCATATATAAGGGAATTTTTCAAGGCAGATAGGGCAAATGAAAAGGGTCATTTATAACTCTTGAAAAAGGGCACTCATCAAGGTGAAAAGGGTCACTAATAAGAGGGGTAAGAGGCACGTACTATATTGGAAAGGGAGCAGTTATCACATTGGGAAGGAACAATTATTATTACAAAGAAAATGGGTCACTTGTTATTGTAAGAAGGGGCACTTTTCAGGTACTTGAACAAGTGGGGGAAATAAGACGACCCCCACCCCCTGGGTACACTGCCTCTGCTAATGCATCACGTAAAATGAAACTGTTATTGCATAAAGGGCAACAACTAGGTTTATAGGCCATTGCCTCGACCGTATTTTTGAATTTTTTGAAGGGTCCTAATAATCACTTCCTTCACTCGTTAATTGTTTTAAGAACGTAACATTTAAGGCAACATCCATTTGTCCCTTGGAAAGCGAGGGTCCGGGAACTGAAGAGGCACTGGCACCAAATTTTGAAGATGGTACATGACAGGGTAGTATTATTTCATTTTCCTTCACACCGTGCATCTCTGTCCCTCTAATTTTTGTTTGAAAACCATCTTTAAAAAGAAGGAGAAAATAATTCCATCATTTTCAATACCGATTCGGAGAAAGTTTTCCTTACTGATCTAAACAGTCTAATCAAAGATAACAGCAGCGTTAGTGCGTTTCTAGGCCTTTGCTTCGAAAGAAAGAGGCAAATCGTCTGAATTTCAACAAGAATCTATACAATTAAAAAAAAATATTAATTGCAAAGGGGTCGATAGATCATGGGAGTATGATTAGATATTAGGTGTTATCTATGATTGTATCATTCCAGATATCTACAGTAAGAAGATCTCACCATCATTGACTGTTCAGCGATGTCGCGAAAAGTTGGAGAATAAGTACCGAAATCAATTGTGCAAAATTCAGATGAAACCGTGGGATCAAAGTGATTATGCTGAGTTCAAAGATATGCACACGGTTGTCACAATGGTGCAGAAGGACGCTCGTGGACAAGACACGAAAAAGAAGGAAACACTCCAGGGTTCTGTTGCTGAAATATTTTCAACAAAAGTAAACGGAGAACTGCCAGCTCGAATCCTCATTTCGGCCCCCGCTGGAAGAGGAAAGACCACGGCTGTCGCTAAGATGGCTTATGACTGGGTTCACAGAGAAAAGGGGTCAGCATTAGAACTACTGCCACTTCTGTTTGTTGTGAAATTCCGAAACACAAGTCAACTTACATCGATCGGAGAAGCCATCAAATCCCAGCTTTTGAGTGATGTTGATGATCTCACACCAGAGGGTCTGGAGAGTTTCATTAGAGAGAATCAGGGAATCTGTCACATCATACTAGACGGGCTAGATGAGTATGCCGGTATTTCTTCTTCAAACTGGAGCTTAGGGAGCAACATTGTCAGTGTCATCCGCTGGGAGGAATTTCCAGAGTGTAGAGTTCTTGTAACAACGCGACCTCATCTAGAGAACTTCTTCAATCAAGCGGAACTTCCAAGGGTATACACAAAGATGTGGATCGAAGGATTCTCGCAAGAGAGCTCACGAGAGTACATCGACAAGTTCTTTGCTTCAACTTCGAATCCTTGTGGTGGTCATGGACATGGTCTGAAGGTTTACCTTGATGACCAACCACTAATTAATGAACTTGTCAAAACACCTTTATTTTGTCTCATGGTCTGTCACTTATGGAGCGAGGAGCGTTTGAACACTAAAACTGCAACTCAAACAGAATTATTAGACAGCGTGAATGTTTTTCTGATGCACCATGCCAATGCCCGAGCAAAATCAAAAGAAAAACAAATAACACAAGACGAAATAACAGAAGAAGAACTAATCGAAATCATTCGTAAGCTGGGTAAGGTTGCTTTAGCTGGTCTAATCGACGACTCTAAAAAACTAATCTTCATGCCCCATGATTTCCGAAGAGTTCCCGCTATCCTTGATAGGGCATGTGAGCTTGGGATATTATCCAAGACGACGATTCCAACGACAATGCTCCAACGATCCCACAATACCACATCCACGACCATTGAGTTTTATCATAAGCTCGTTCAGGAACACTCGGCTGGGAAATACCTTGCTGCTAAAACGAAGAAATATATGTTACGACTGAAGATTTCTAAGTTGGACAGACTGCTGCGAAACATCAAAGCAAACATCGGTGACTATGAGAATCTCATCCGATTTGCTGCTGGCACAGATAACAGCCTTTGCATACGAATAATGAAGGCGCTCCTTTCCAACCGCTTTTTGGATGAGAGCGAGCGATATCGCATTCTCCTTGACTGCTCATCAGAGACCAAGGGTACTCAACAAAATGTGTCTTCGTTGGTTCAAAGATGTGTGAATGCAGAGAGTATTGTTCTAAAGTCACCGACTGTCTACACCGTCGTTGGGATGCAAAATCTTCCAAAGAAGCTTAAACGTCAGGTATTCACATTTTCAATCGACAACATGTGTTTACAATAATAATTTCCTAAAGATTGATTAAGTTTCCATCCCTCCGCTTTAACTATTAGTCAAAGGGATAAGATTGATTTAATAGATTATTAATTATTAATTGACGGCATCACCATGAATAATAATGCATGGTAAAATGATCAAGACGTATGATTCATTATCATAATTATTCTATATCTGCCCAATTACGGCCTTGATCAAGGTACTGCATTCCAAAAACGAGAAAAATAATGCAAACAAATACTACTAGGCCCTAGGGCCTATTCATATAGGGAAAATGATGAGACTCAGTCATTAAAAGCAAGTAGCCTATGTAAAACGAAGGAACTCTATACTTAATATGGAAAAAATACATCGGAAGGGAATTTTCATTACTTTAGCGAATAATATTTTCAGATAGGGTCAGGCTGCAATCTCGTTTGCGTTAATGATTACCACCAAAACACGACAGATAGTTCAGAATTTATTACGTGATCTTTGGACTTCTACCGGCCCGGCTAAAAGGCATGGTGTACTAGGATGATTACACCATCTTGGACGGCTTGAAGTGCAGAGAATATTATAGAGATGAAATATAAGAACAGTCCAGATTATGGACTAGAGATGAAATAGATATTTTCATCAACTGTTCTGACTATTTGTCTCTATCTCTCTTTCTCTTCAACGCCCCCCCCCCCCCGCCTCTCTCCCATTATCTCTCTCTCTCTCTCTCTGAACACCAGGTTAGAACAATAAAGTTCGAGGGGTCTACTCTAACTACCGACGTGACGAGTGGACTATGGTCCTGCCTCAAAGACTTTTTGATGTTAGATACTCTCGTCATCTCAGACTCGTCTCTCAGTTTCCCTCCATCTCCTCCGGAGCTTCTATCCGTCACACAGCTATCAGCTGAGAGAGTGACGTCACAATGCTACGAAGGAGTGCTCTCATCGATACCCGGAGTGAGAGATATCGATGTCTCTATCGACGTTGCAGAGACGAGCAACACTTTTCAGATCACCACCGCATCCAGGCCTATGAATCAGACTAGGGCTAAGGATGAACAGTTCTTTGTTCATATCAGACTACACGCCTTGACAGGACTTACCACAGACAGGAAGACTGAATCAGGAGAGACAATTGGAGAGCTTAGTCTTCTATTTGAAGACCAAACCAAAAACCAACAACGGCTGCATGTGTCCGGTGTGAGGGGCAGAGACGAAGAAGCCTTGGTGGACCTGTTTGTCAAGACTAAACAACTAACGTACTTGAATTCGGGGTAGGTACTAGTACTACTAGACCCTAGTTGAAATAGTTGAAATATTTATTGGTTACTGAATCATCATAGGTTATAACAATAATGTGACAATGTCTTTACATGAGTATAAAACATAAGTTAAATTACATTTCCACATTCAGTAAATCATAGATACATACGCTCGAAGAGGTGATGAAACAGAAGGGCTACAGCCTAAGCGTGACAGCTTGATACGCTTGCAGCCCAGAAACATTTAAAATCATAACGATTGTAAAGTAAAGTAAATTACAGAACATAATTGGGGGAAAATAACAAAAAATAAACAGTGACTTGCAACCCCCCCCCCAAAAAAAAAAAAAAAAAATGGGATAGAGGGTGCATGGGAGGGGGGTTTTCCTGCTATATCAAGGAAATGCTGACAAACATATATGATATCATGTGTTAATTTAAGAGATTTGTCAATATTTGCTCAATAAAATTGATTTCACACTTTTCTTGAAAGTATATACTGACTTCAAATTACGGATGTCAACGGACAGTGAGTTCCAAATATCCGGACCAGAATGTCTTATAGATTTCATAGCCATTGTTGTTTTAGGATTACATAAATGGTATTTATTTTATTGTCTGGTTGGGTATGTATGAATATTTCTATTCAAACAAAACATTGGTGGGAAGTGGGAAGGTAGGGAATCATTATGTAGACGGAACATGAACAGTGCTTTTTGTAAAAAGTTAATATCAGTTACTTTCAGAGTTTTTAACCTCGCGAATAGGGGATCAGTGTGATCGCGATATCCAGCATTGGTACACACACGAATCGCTTTCTTTTGTAAAAGTAGCATTTTATCAGTATATTCTTTTGAGTCTGCCCACAGTATATTGCAATAAGACATGTAAGGAAGAATCAAGGAATTGTATAGCATATATAGAATATTCAAAGGCTCATAATGTTTTAACTTATACAGTAAACCAACAGTGCGTGACACTCTCTTTGAAACGTAATGTACATGATCACTCCATTTCAGATTTTCATTGATGATAGTTCCAAGAAATTTAGTATTTTGTTTTTTCTCCAAATATTCACCATCCAAGACTATTTCAGGTATAGGTTTATCAGTTGCATTTTTCCTGCTTTGAAAATGAATATAATTAGTTTTTTTCAGATTCAGAGACAATTTGTTGCTCCTAAACCACAAAGACAGCTTAGGTAGCTCGGTGTTCAGAATTCTCTGAAGTGATCGAAAATCGGAATTGGAGCAAAACACATTAGTATCATCAGCAAATATAATATATTGTAATGATATAGTTGAGTTCGAGATATCATTAACATACAGTAGAAACAATAAAGGACCGAGTATCGATCCTTGTGGGACACCACATTTCATAGGCAATAATGATGAATCTACAGATTCGTAGCTTACATATTGCTTTCTACCTGACAAATAATCATTAAACCAGTCAAGAGCAACTCCTCTTACTCCGTAATAATGAAGTTTGCTTGATAGTACCTTGTGATCAAGAGTGTCAAATGCTTTGCTTAAGTCCATGAATACACCAATAACATGCTTTCGAGACGCCAAAGCATTCGAAACCTTATCATATAATTGTGCAAGGGCTAAATCGGTTGAGTGGTATTTCCTGAAACCATATTGATCCTGATTCAGTAAGTCATTTTCTGTTAGAAAACAATATAGCCTATTGTATATAAGTCTTTCCAATACTTTGGACAAACTCGAGAGAATAGAAACAGGGCGATAGTTTGAGACTTGGGAAGAGTCATCCTTTTTGTATATCGGAACAACCTTAGCAATCTTAAATGCTTCTGGAAATGTACCTGTCGTCAGAGAGAGATTAAAAATATGCACTAGTGGGGTTATTATATTTCCTATAACTTGTTTCAAAAGATATGTGCTTATCCCATCATGACCGTTAGCATAGCTTATTTTAAGAGAACGTGCAATATTCAAGATTTCAATCAAGTTTGTTGGTTTGAGAAATAATGACTTGTTGCAGGGAGTTTGAAGAAATTGTGAGAAGTCGACTCCGTTCGAAGCTATTGTATTGGCCTGATTGGGGCCAACCCCAACAAAGTAAGCATTGAAGCAATTTGCTATTTCTTTTGAATCAACCATTGTATTATTATCTTTGGTAATATGACACTTTGATTTACTCTTTTGTTTTTTGAGGGCTTGATTGATCACATTCCACGTTGATGATGCATTTCCATTTGCATTTTCAAACTGCTTGGCAAAATACATTTGTCGAGACTGTCTAATAATGGTGGTTAGTTTGTTCCTATATGATTTGTAATTATTCAAGCTTTCCTCTCCTGGGTGTCGAAGACTATATTTATATAATCTATTCCGTTTTTTAATAGAGCAAAAGATACCTTTAGTTATCCATGGCTGCTTGATTCTATTTCTTGCCGATCTTTTTTTAGTCATTGGGATATGTTTATTTAAAAGAGAGGAGAACAAGTTCCAAAAAAGTGCATATGCCTTATTGGTGTCAGTACATGCGACCCCGTCATTCCATGTTACTTTGAGTAGTTCGTCATTAAACATGGCTATTTTTTCAGCTGTGATTTTACGTATCATAGCTTGATTCTTTTCGTCCTCAGGATAATTGCGAACATGATTACAAATCAGGAAAATTGGAAGGTGGTCAGAGATTTCACTATACAAGAGGCCAGAGCCTATATAGTTATTGGTGACATTTGTAAAAATGTTATCTATCAATGTAGAAGAGTTATTTGCCAATCTGGTTGGTTTATCAATCATGGCATTGAATGAATTTGATCGTAACATATTATGAAAAGTATTATCTTCCTGCAAAAGATCAATATTAAAATCACCCATCAAGTAAACATCCTTTTTTCTAGATTGACCTTATGCAGCATCCTATCAAACTCATCCAAAAATAATTCAACATTTGTATGCGGAGGCCTATATATTGTACATATCAAGATGTTTTTCCTTTGAGCCATATTGATTTCAATGCATATCGAGTCAGTACCATCACTCTTCAAACTAAGGTCAGATCTAATTTTGTATGTTAACAAGTTTGAGATAAACATAGCAGCTCCACCACCCCTTCCGGTTTTTCTATCAGAACGTACAATCGAATAATTGTCAATATTACATAAAGTAGATGGAGATGTATCATTAAGCCACGTTTCTGTGACTCCTATGACTGAAAACGGTTTGGTGAGGGCCGACAGCAGAATGTTCAGATATTCATAATTTTTAACAAGACTTCGTGCATTTGTATGTAATAAGCTAAAGGAATTATTTTCACTCTCAAATCTTGAATTAAATTCATGAGGAAGATAATATTTACAATCCACTTTGTCATCCAATGACAGTACTGTAGGCCTAGTGTACTTGACCTAGATCTAGTACTAGTCTAGGCCTACTAGATTTAGGTCTAATAGGTATATCTAGCTCTAGTACTACTACTACTACTACTAGGTCTAGATCTTTATTGATGGGGGTTATTATTATATATTATTGATGATGGTGTGACCATAGTTCACTATCTCAACAAATCGGTAAGATTTTGAAATTCACTCTAACAAAGTTAGATCTAGATACTAAGACTAGATCTAGATCCAGATCTAATGGAAAGAGAAACCTAAAATTACCGAGAGACGGAATTTTGTATGGAATTTGAGGTGAAATTAGTAAAATATTGACTAAAGATCGGCAAATTTTGCAGTCTTTTGCGTCCGTTCCGCAAAAAAAACATGAACTTGCCGACAAGTGTCATCAAAATTGTAAATAAGAAGTAGACTAGGCCTAATAATAGTCTACCAACCAGGGGCGGCGATTTCTTTTCATGACCGGGGCGACAAAGTGCTAGGGAGCATAGTCTAGATCTAGACCCTAGATCTAGTGAACGAGAAGGGTGAAGGTGACTGAAGTGACTACCCCCTTACACTTTCACATGATTTTGAAGTTTTGTTGTAGATTATGTGATTGGCGCGTAGTGGCTCGCTGTAGCGCCGAATTAATGTCCGCTCGGCATGTGTCGTCAAGTGGAATAAACTGGATGCCATATGGCGTGCGCCAAATGCCACCCGGCTTGCTCCAAAATTTTGCGCCAGTTTGCGCCAGTTTGCGCCATACACGGCCATTTGCTTCCAAAATTCACCCTGCTGGCGCCATTCGCACCAATAGACGGCTACTTTGCGCCACTTGGTGATTAGTTTGTAAATACCGGCCATCGGCTACCTGGTTCAGAGCCTCCTCAGCTGCTGTATGAACAACATCTCTACTAAATATTTACAATTTTGATATGTCTGAGGCTTTTGATAATGTTAGAGTGATGATGCTGCTCCATCAGAAGATGATGAGAGATGCTGAGGTGGCCACTGCACATTTAGCGCGCTTTGGCGGGGTATCCGCCTCTGTTGGAATTATTTGGCGCGTAGTGGCGCAAACAAGGTACCACTTGGCGCCAAGTGGCGCCATGTGGCGCGAAAATCTCATTGGCGCAACTTGGCGCGCGCCATTACATTCCAGTGGATCCAATAGGCGGATTGTTTGCGCCAAAGGGCGATATGTTCGCGCCATTTGGTGCCACTTGGCGGACACTTGGCGCTGATTCCTCGATGCAAGTGGCGCGACGAAAATTTCAAACATTTTGAAATTTTCTTGCCGCCACATTCAAATTTGGTGCCGATATGCTAGGAGTCCACTGGGCCGGCGCCAGTTGGTGCCAGTTCGCGCCAAAGATTATGTGATTGGCGCGTAGTGGCTCGCTGTGGCGCCGAATTAATGTCCGCTCGGCATGTGTCGCCAAGTGGAATAAACTGGGTGCCATATGGCGTGCGCCAAATGCCACCCGGCTTGCTCCAAAATGTTGCGCCAGTTCGCGCCAGTTTGCGCCATTACACGGCCATTTGATTCCAAAATTCACCCTGTTGGCGCCATTCGCGCCAATAGACGGCTACTTTGCGCCACTTGGTGATTAGTTTGTGCCAAAGGTCGCCAAATTGGTTTGAACTTGCCGCCGCTTGGCGCTACTTGCCGACTAAATAAATACCGGCCATTGGCTACCTGGTTCAGACCCTCCTCAGCTGCTGTATGAACAACATCTCTACTAAATATTTACAATTTTGATATGTCTGAGGCTTTTGATAATGTTGGAGTGATGATGCTGCTCCATCAGAAGATGATGAGAGATTCTGAGGTGGCCACTGCCTATCAACTTATGCTGGCCAATCCTGAAGAAGAAGAGCCTCCTAAGAAGTAAAGGAAGCACACCTGGTGGTTTAGACCCATGCTCCACCCAGTTGAGGGCCGAACGTGGACAGTACCACACTTTGATGGAAGAGCTGAGTGAGAATGACAGGAGGAAGTTCAAGAACTACACCAAGGTGTCCCCAGAGATGTTTGATGACCTGTTGGTCAGGCTTACACCCCACTTGCAGAAGGACACCCACTTCAGGAAGGCCATTCCCCCTGGTCTCAAGTTGTCCGTCTTCCTGCGCCATCTCGCCACTGGGGCCACCTATGCCGAGCTGTCTTACAACTTCCGAGTGGACAAGGAAACCATCCAGAAGTTTGTCCCTGAGGTAGCCAGAGCGATAGTGGATGAGTATGCTGCAGAAGTCATCTCCCTCCCCACAACCAATGAAGGCTGGCTTGAGGTTGCAGGTGATTTTGAAGCCAGGTGGAATCTTCTTCACTGTCTGGGAGCCTATGATGGAAAGCATATCCATCTCCAGAAGCCCAACAAATCAGGCAGCCTTTACTTCAACTACAAGCAGTTCTTCTCGGTTGTCCTGATGGCTCTGGTAGATTCAAAGTACAAGTTCATGTGGATCGATGTAGGTGGGGTTGGCCATCAGTCTGATGCCTAGATCTACAACAACAGTGAACTGAAGGAGTGCATTGAAGCTGGCACTTTAGGCATCCCAGATCCAGCTCCTCTTCCCCATGATGATGAAGAGCACCCTTTGCCGTACTTCTTCGTGGGAGACGATGCCTTTGCCATAAGGACGTACATGATGAAGCCCTATGGCTGTCGAAACATGGACCAACAGCAGAAGATCTTCAACTACAGGCTGTCCAGGGTAAGGCGTCTGGTTGAAAATGCCTTTGGCATTCTGGCTCTGCGTTTCCAGTGCTTCCTTGGCCAGATGAGACAGGAACCAGATACAGTCCGCCTGCTCGTTGAAGCTGCCGTCATGCTGCACAACCTCACCAGGAAGCGCTATCAGGCACTGGACGTCCGCATGTTGGACCAGGATGATGCCCAGCACAACCTCATCCCTGGAGCTTGGAGAACTGCCGCCATCACTGTGATAAAGTCCTGCGATGCCGCCCTGCTTTTATAGGCGGCAAGTGGCGCCGAATGGCGGGCAACCAGGTGGCATTTGGCGCGAAGTAGTCACCAATCGGGTGCCGTTTGGCTCGCGTAGTGGCGCAAACAAGGTGCCCCTTGGCGCCAAGTGGCGCCATGTGGCGCTAAATCTCATTGGCGCAACACGGCGCGCGCCATTACATTCCGGTGGATTCCAATAGGCGGATTGTTTGCGCCAAAGGGCAATATGTTCGCGCCATTTGGTGCCATTTGGCGGACGAAAATTTCAAACATTTTGAAATTTTCTTGCCGCCACATTCAAATTTGGCGCCGTTACGGGCCACCACGAGCCAGTTGGGAGGCAGTTTGAGCCAATACACGCCACTAGGCACCTTATTGGCGACACTAGGCGCCACAGTAAATTGCAGTGGCGCAAACTGGCACCAACTGGCGCTGGCCCAGTGGACTCCTAGCATTAGGTCTCGTTGTTTTTATGACTTGTTCGTGAGTTACAGCGCGCAGGCCTATCCGACATCGATTTTTAAATCGCGATATCTCCAGAATCCTTTGACAATAACTAGTTTTCGTAGTTAAAAACTTTGCCCTCCGTTTGTTAATAATTAAAATAAATACATTTGTGTAAAATATGGGAAATCATGGATCAAATATCACATTTTCTAGTATTTTCAAAAAACTTTGCGAACTTTTGTCACTGCAGATCTTTGTGTTAATGTCGCTTCTTTAATTTTAAGACGGCATAAACACCAAACAATGTATTAAAATGGTATTTCATGGATGTTCTTATTAGCATTGACATCATTATCATGATTATATTTGTTACTTTATTTACCATTATTATAATATGATTATTATCATTATAGTTATTGTTAGTATTGTTGCTTTCATTTACCTTTGTAAAGAGGGGATGAATAATTCACTTGCATTCTTTATTAATGTAATATTATTTCCCAATAGTTGCTTTCAAGAATCACATTTTCCCCTCATTCCTTTTCAAATATTCTTTGTAGGAGTGGAGGTGGTACTCTACACAAAAAGAACAACGTCCAGGTGAGTGACTTTTGGTATACGGATGCATGCATTTCACTTAAAAATATTCAACAAAGGGATATCCTCTGGATTTTACTATTAAAGGGAATTGAAAAACAGTTCCATTTTTGTTGTATAAATAACTCAATAAATTCTCGGAATATGAATGCAATACTTGTAAGTTCAGCTTTACTGACGTGGAATTCTGTATGTCCACACGTTTATTCTCAATATTTAATCGATGTAAATAAAAGTGACAAGTTTGTCTGTTTATATTTATTGCAGAATACTAGGCTTGAGATAGAGCAATGCCAGCTATCTACTGAGACGACCAAAAAGTTGTTGTCCTGTCTCAGATCCTTCACCTCATTGAACCATCTCACCATCTCAGACTCCTCTCTCAGTTTCCCTCCATCTCCTCCTGAGCTTCCATCTGTCACAAAGCTATCAGCTAAGAGAGTGACGTCACAAAGCTATGAGGGTCTGCTCTCATCGCTTCCTGGCTTGGAAGTGGTCGATATCACTATCGGAGATGCAAGTACAGAAGACATATCTCAGATCCAGACTAGTCTACGTCGGTATCTGGCAGAACAAGATCTCACACGCATCGACCTTTCTTCTCTCCAATCAGAAGAGAATGTATCAAGCATGTCAAGAATGAGGATGGAAGGACTTGGTCTTCTTATCACAGAATTTCAGGCGATGTTGTCCGGAATACTTTTCGGACCCGAGAATGCAGTGATCGATCTTGTCCAGTCTTCAATGCGTTTAATGTCAGCAAGTCTGTTTATAGAACAGTGAGTAACAGAAATTAGTCTAATTATCTTTTTCTTCTATCCACTCAATTGTCAGTCAGACACAACTTATAAAAACCACGTCTAGAAAGGTACTCTTAAAACAGCGAACAAGGCACTGTGAATATAGCACCCTCATCTTTCAATTCGAGTCACTGTATGCAAAAGGCATGGGGAAAATTTGTCGAAATCAACCCGCTGTTCTTCTTCTTCTTCCTGAAAAGTGCAGGCTTCATGAAATGAAGGTTAACGCACTCTGGGTGGATATGTGCGCGCAGTCTGTACGCAGACAAGAATTTCTGATGCTGCAGATAAATTATGTACAGTGATGTGCTGTTAAAAAATAGCTAAGCTTTTATGCATGTTAGACGGTGCCGTCCCTCATTGCCGCGTTAAAGCATCGAGTGAAACAAAATCTCTCGGGTCTTTTTTCAGAGAGTTCCATTCTTTGCTGGTGCTATTAAAGAAGGAGTAAGTGTTGATTTATTGGAGTTTGTTGTCTACAGAAATAATGCTGTCGATATATTTATTTAATATCTTTGAAATTTGGAAAGATGTTTGCATGATTTATCCTTCATGGATTTTGAAGATAATTGAACCACAATATTATTTTACAAATAATCTATATCGACACTAGGTTGACTTAGAAGATTCTTATCATGCTTTATGTACACAATGCCTAGCACTGAAAGTTGAGGGCATATATTCACTAAGCGGTAATTGTTAATTTTAAAGTATTTGACTGTAGACCTACTTGGTTTTTCGCAGTTCTTGCTGACTGTTTGTTATTGATATGGGCATCGATAGATCTTTTATTTCACTTACTTGTAAAGCTCATGTGTTAAACCAGTCCATTAATTACCACCTGAAGTCGATTTAACTTGGATGAAACTAGAACAGTCATTGAGTACCGAAGATGATATTGAAGTTATGTTTAGGCAAATGTAACGTAAGGTAATTTTCCCAACGTTTAAAACGATTTTTAAAGAAGATGTCAAAACAGGAATTACATTTGTTTGTAATGCTCTAGAAAAACAAAACGTTAATCATTTGATCATGACTGAAATTTAGACTTCGAGAAAAATGTGTAGAATTTGTTTTAAAAAAACGTCAGTTATGTAAGCTCATATTTCCCTGGTAATTACTCAAACAATTACTCAAACAATCTAATGAAATATGATATGTAAATTCCAAGATTAGGACTGCTCTCTTCGAACGGATATAATGTTATGGAATAAGATGTGGGTTTCACATCCTTATTTGTCAGATCGAAATATTTCATACTTTTTATCAAATAATATTCGTATCGTACAATATTCGGTGTAAAAGGATTTTTAGGTGAAATAAGACTACATTTGTCATTATTTGGAAACATTCGGGTCGTAATGTATTATTCACCAATGTTTAAAGTGGCTCATGTGTTTTCTCTCACTCCTTGATCTCTCTTTGAAATGATATAGGTTTTTGGGGTCGCTAAACTCCGATAAACATGCATTGAATGTAAGTATACTCTAATTGTACATGTTCATACGCCTTATTTTGTTCGTAATATTTCAGAAAGCAATTCCCACTTCATGCCGAACAGAAAAAAGTATCATACTTTTAACTTATTTGAAACAATTAATTATCACATTTTACGTTTCCCATTGTCATTTTTGTTTATGCCAGAAATATATTCATACGAACAATACAACGGTATTTACAAAGAACATAAGTGCATAAGCCTAAATTTATATGTTAATTAATCTTAATGGGGATATTAAGGGGCCTACGGTAAAAGCATAGCTTGATGGATGTAAGCCCCGTAACATAAATCAATTATAAGTCTGACAAAGTTGTAGGGACTAAAAACAGTTGAAACAAATTAATACAGGCCTATAAAGTAAGTATCATTTTCTTTATTGTTTTGCCAACTCTCTTTTACAAATGAATTAAATGATCCAATCAATTTTTTCAAATAAATTGAAGCTACATGTAAGAAATAAGTTTAATAAAGGAAAATCATTCCAGTCCTCAGCCCGTGTCGATCAATATATCAGTTGAGTTCGAATGATTTCTACCCCAGGTTTTGTTGATGTTGTTTCTGTATTCTCCTTTCTTCTCAAAACCATCGATATATATTGCTCTCAAGAAATTTATTCCACTTGTAGTTTTTAATCTGTTAAACTGTTGTAGAAACGACGACTTGTTCTTTCTGTATGTCATCATAGATTGACATGTTGAATATCAAGGACTGCCAGCTATCTACCGAGATGACCGAGAAGTTTTGGTCCTGCCTCAGATCCTTCACCTCACTCAACCATCTCACCATCTCAGACTCCTCTCTCAGTTTCCCTTCATCTCCTCCTGAGCTTCCATCCGTCACAAAGCTATCAGCTGTGCGTGTGACGTCACAAAGCTATGAAGGTCTGCTCTCATCGCTTCCTGGTTTGAGAGTGATCGATATCACTATCGATGATGCAGAGAGAGACATACCTCAGATCACGGCTGGTCTTCGTCGGACCGGAGGACAGCAGCTCACACGCATCAACCCTAAAGCACCGCCATGGCTCCCATCAGAGAAGAAGAGTGTATCGAGAGAGACGATGAGAGGACTGGGTCTTCTGATCAGAGAACAAACCAAGGACCTGCAGCGGCTTTGTCTGTCTGGGATAAAAAGCTTGGACAAAGAAGACTTGGTTGAACTTGTCGAGTCGTCAACATATTTGAAAGCATTGGATAGACTGCATTTACAGTGAGTTCGAGTAGATGTTCATACATTTCTCAATAAAATTAAAGTAGACAAAATTAAACAGAAAGTCTAACTGTAATGTAAACTATAAAAGGTGAATAATAGGTTTGTTTTTGTGTGACTTTGTCTTATCAAAATTGTTTCGAGTATGTAAATATCTTTGATCGTATTACGAATTATCAATTTAAGATCAGTAAAAAGATAATCACACTTCACAAACTGCTGTGAATAAAAAAATGAATTTGAAATTGGTTAGATGAAAGGAGGGGGCATGCAAATACTATCAAATAGTCAATGCGATAATTTCCCATGGGAATCCTCTAGTCTGCCCCAGCCAGCTCAATGGCTTCTCGCGGTGGTGGGGTGTTGAGGGAGTCATGGGGTATATTTTTCTTATATCCCTACTTTTTTACATCCCAAACTGAGGCTGTAAATATTTACAATTTTTTAGGCAGTTATTTTCTGTCAACTCGCATTTCCCATGGCACTACTCTCAATGTATGCCATTGGTTGTAATGCTATATTTGTTGAGAGTATAAATGATCTTTTGGACTAGAATAGCTAGAGACAAAAGAGAATTGAAATGTAATATGAGGAGGGCTCTTCAACTCACTAGAACCTTCTGCATGTATACGGTACTCGCAGGCCATGTCCGATATCGATGTTATGTCATGAATCCCCCAAAATATTCCCACTGTTTTTGTGTTAATATATTTGTTTTTGACGCTTTCAACTCTCTATATCAAATATTATAGGTATCTTGATGGTGGATGTTTTAAATACGATGGAAAATCGGGTGTCCAGGTAGGCAGATATCTTATACATATACTATATACGACAGTGGCGTAATGAGCAAAAAACTTTGGGGGGGGGGGGGGCTGACCAAAAAAATCCCAATCACCCCACCCTAACATGCAGTCCCCGCTGAACGTTTCTCAAAGTGGGGTCTTGGGGCTGAGCCTCCGAAGGGGGGGGGGCACAAAATGGCATGGGGTGAAATATATGTAAAACGATGAAAGAGTAGGGATCTTTTGCAATTTGAGGACCACATTTGGCGCATTAATGTCTACCGGCACTTATTGGAAAAAAAGAGGCCTTCTTGAATTCAGACAACATTAAGATACACTGTAGTAGAGAACGGCACAACGAGTCGTCTTCTTTCTCTAAAAATTTAATGAAACGGCAAAGCTTCCGCGCTTCGCGCGGGAGGGGATTGGTCAGAAGTTAGAGAAAAGTGATCTGTCACGTCGTGTGACGTTGTATAAATTATGCTTTGATGCCGCACAATGCACAAAGACGGTGGTCCGGTACTTCACCGTAGTACTTGCAAAAATTATCTCGTGTGTATATACTGTGTCGTTATCGGGGGCGCGGCTAGATCTTTTTCAGTGGGGAGGAGGGAGGGTGTAGAGGCCACCGATTACCGACAAAAAGGAGCCACCAATTACCAACAAATATAAAAATGCCAATTTCCAAATGCCTACAAATCTAACCCTATAAACCCGGGGCCAGGAACTAATTTATTTTTCAGCTAGCGCCCCCCCCCCCCCCAAGCACCCCCACCAGTACGCCAGTGATATACGACTTCCAAAATTTAGGAAAGCAATTCACTATTTGCGCCTGAACGGAAAACGCAAATAAATGTTCATTTTTAAGTAATACAATCAAAGATAGCTCTTACAGATTCAAAGGGGTGATTGGGCCACATTCTGTCTCGTGATTTTGATGGCTACGACTGTAATTAGCATATTTCTCTTCCCGTCAGTTGTCGATGGTTATATTGAACTGTTTAAACATATTATGGTAAAATTAGCGTATTTTTACGTACCCTATCCAAACAACCCTACGCGTACCCATTATTTGCAATGTCGTAGCGGCTCCCATTTGACACTAAGGCTGGACGGCTGGAGGAAAAAAATGGCATAATATGACAATTACCATTAATTTCTGTTAAGGAGGTGCAACCTAGGCTATATTATATAACATATACTAACTGGATTAAAGATAACCCTTTTTTTAAATTATAAGTTATCAGAGAGGGAGGAGTCTCGCTATGTACCTGGTTTCGCATTACGTGATTCAGTAACCATTTAGTCTCTCTGTATTTCATTATCTGTTCTAATTCCAGAACGAGTGTCGACTCCTCGTAAAGAAATGCCAGCTATCTACTGAAATGACTGCCAGAATGTGGTCCTGTCTCAGATCCTTCACCTCACTGAACCATCTCACCATCTCAGACTCCTCTCTCAGTTTCCCTTCATCTCCTCCTGAGCTTCCATCCGTCACAAAGCTATCAGCTGAGAGTCTGACGTCACAAAGCTATGAAGGTCTGCTCTCATCGCTTCCTGGCTTGAGAGTGATCGATATCACTATCGATGATGCAGAGAGAGACATAGCTCAGATCACGGCTGGTCTTCGTCGGACCGGAGGACAGCAGCTCACACGCATCGAGCTTAGAGCAGCGCACTGGCGCCCATCAGAGAAGAAGAGTATATCGAGAGAGACGATGAGAGGACTGGGTCTACTGATCAGAGAACAAACCAAGAACCTGCAGCTGCTAAATCTGTCCGGGATGAAGTGCTTGGACGAAGAAGACTTGGTTGAACTTGTCGAGTCGTCAACATATTCGAAAGCATTGTATAGTCTACATTTACAGTGAGTTCGAGTAGATTTCCATACATTTGTCAATGAAATTAAAGTAGACAAAATTAAACAGAAAGTCTACCTGTAATGTAAACTGTAAAAGTGGTTAATAGATTTGCTTTTGTGTGATTTTGTCTCATCAAAATTGTATCGAGTATGTTAATGTCTTTGAACGATCAATTCAAGATCAGTAAAAAATTATCACACTTCACAAACTGCTGTAAATAAAAAAAATACATTTTAAATTGGTTAGATGAAAGGAGGGGGCGTGCAAATACTATCAACAAGTCCATGCGATACTTTATCATGGGAATCCTCTCAGCTGCCCCAGCCAGCTCAAGGGCTTCTCACGGTGGTGGGGTGTGGTGGGAGTCATGGGGTATATTTTTCTTATATCCCTACTTATTTGCATCCCAAACTGACAATGTAAACATGTACACATTTTTAGGCAGTCATTTTCTTTCAACTCGCATTTCCCATGGCACTACTTACAATGTATGACATTGGTTGTAATGCTATATTTGTTGAAAGTCTAAATGATCTCTTGGACTAGGATAGCTATAGACAAACGAGACTGGAAATGTTATGAGGAGGGCTATGTCCAACGTCTTGATGAACTATAGCCTGATAGATTGATTGATAAATGATATATTTGTTATATATATATATAATATATACTTAGATTTGGTCTATACCTCCGTACAGTGCTCAATGCTTATGGGCAGAGCAAAATATATATTGGATAATATATATATATATATATATATATATATATATCTTCAACTCCCCAGGACCGGTATTCGATTCAATACTTAGCATAAGTAAGACATTTACTAAGTAAATGGCTATTGTAATGTCGTAATACGGAGTAAGTAAGGCACCATGCATGCAGCTTGAATGCTAAGGGTGGGTGATGAGCTCATTTATTTGTGAACAGCAATATACATCAGCATGAAGAAAACCCTGCAAATCAATCAGATGTGCCAAACATAAATACGAGACAAGTATAGATTCTTGTCAACATATATATGATACATAGTATACAACAATGTGGGCGAGGTACGTAGTACAAAATCTAAGTAAAATATTTACTGATAAGCATTGTGACGTCTCACGGTCAATTAAAAGTAATGCGCATTACAATAAAGGCGCGTTGATATAAATGCGCGCAGGCTATAATACTGCGTAAGAAAACCACATGCCTGCCAATCAAGGCCTCCAAATACTTGGCTTACGTCTGGTATTTGAGTTTATTGATTTCACATTTCACATGCAGAAATAATACAGATAACAAAATATACATAAAAGACATATTGTTTCATAATATAACAAAATGATTATATTAATTGACAAGGTTATCATCACATTTGTTTGACAACTAATATCATTTAAAGGAAACCCAGATAAAAGTACAAACTGTGAAATGTGCAGGAACCTATAGAAAAGCAGAGCTTGTAAAGAATAGGTTCCTGGGCGACTTGAAAAATAACAGGGACAGAAAATGTTTACTGTAGAGAGAGGTACACAATTAAAATTAAGACGGTAGTAGTTTGACAAATAGTTGTTTGCGAGTTCAATACAATACAATACAGAAAAAGGAAAGAAAAAGAAATACATTAAACCGAAGAGTAGTAACGAGCCAATAAATAGCAGAGTATGCACCATACATGTTTGCACCACCTGAACGTTTACAAAAACCGAACAATAGAAATCATGAATTATTTATTCCTTTCCTGTTAAAATCCACTTAAATGTCACATAGGCAAAAGAACACCTAAAATTGCAAATGAATTGTAAAATGAATTGTAAAATGGTACACGTTATAAAAAAAGAACATTATACATGAAATGTCTAATCATCATTATTATTGTAGGCATTCAACAAATGTAACTTGAGTTTATATTTAAATTGATGAATAGAAGAAGAGTGAAGTAAATCAGGATGAAGATTGTTCCAAAAAGACGGACCAGTATATACAATTGTTTTTTGAGAAAATGAAGTGCGTAAACGGTGGATGTGAAAATCATTCCTTTTCCTGGTAGGGTATGAATGAATATCCAAGTTCTTAGTGAAAAGAGAAGCAATAGAATCAGGCAAATCATTTGTTGTAAGTTGATACATGAAAATACCCAAATTATAGAGAAATATATCAGACACATGTAGAAGGTTATTGTTGAAAAATAAGATGTTTGAATGTGACCGGAAACCAACATTGTGAATTATTCTCAGGGCTCTTTTTTGAATGACCAATAAACTATGCAGTTGAGTCTTGGAGCAGTTGCCCCATGCTAAAATACCGTAATTTAAATAAGGGAAAATTAAGGTGGAGTATAGATTCAACAGGACATCAAGAGGAAAAAAGTTAAGTCTGTTGATGACGCCGGTATTTCGTGATAAAAGTTTACATAAATTTCCAACGTGCATTTTCCAATTAAGTTTACAGTCTATAACAAGACCAAGAAATTTTGTGTGTTCAACAAATAAAATGTTTATGTCATTAATGGAAATGTTACCAGGTAGTGATGTTATGGAGTTACTGAAAAGCATATAGTTCGTTTTAGTCACATTAAGAGATAATTTATTGGCATTAATCCACTCCAAAACAGATAGTAATTCATTGTTTACAACGTCAGCAATAATATTGGGATTTGGATGAGTAAAGAAAATATTGGAATCATCGGCAAAAAGTATGAATGACAAAATGGGGGAGGAAGTTTGGAAATCATTAATGTAAAGTAGAAACAAGAGCGGACCCAGGAGAGATCCTTGCAGGACACCACAAGTGATATGTCGTAGACATGAGTCATGATCATTTAAATTAACATATTGCATTCTGTCTGTGAGGTAATTCCTGAACCACTCCAAGGCCTTCCCTTTGATCCCATAATGGGATAGTTTATATAAGAGAATATCATGGTTAACTGTGTCGAAGGCCTTGGAGAAGTCCAGGAAAATGCCAATAGTATGGGACATATTATCAATAGCACATGCAATCTTATTAATGAACATGAGTAATGCATGAGTTGTGGAGTGTTTACGTCGGAAACCATATTGAGATGACGATAATATGTTAAATTTAGATATGAATTTAAAGGTACGAGTATGAATAATCTTTTCTAACATTTTTGAAAACGACGAAAGCAAGGAAATTGGGCGATAATTACCCAAGTCATCTTTACTACCAGATTTAAATATAGGAACCACCTTAGCAATTTTCATTTTTTGAGGTGCAATACCATTTAGTAAAGATAAATTTAAAATATGAGCAAGAGGATGGGCAATCACACCGATTACCTTTTTTAAAAGAAAATTAGTTATGCCATCAGCACCTGCACTTTTTTTATTCTTAAAACTATTGACAATACTAATTAATTCAGAACAGTCTGTTGGAGTTAAAAAGAATGAACTTTGGTTGGAATTTGTGAGAAAAGAATGAAAGGGTTTACCAGATGTGGGTATTTTCTCAGCTAGCTTTGGCCCTATTTGAACAAAAAAAGAATTAAAAGATTCAGCTAAATCACGAGAGTCTTGAATCTTCACACCATCATCAATCACACTCTCAATGTGTATAGACTTAGTTTTACTTTTCAGGACATTATTAATAATCTTCCACGTATTTTTAGCATCATTTTTATATAAATTGAATTGTGAAGAATAATAATCTTTTTTAGCCTGTCTCAATAAAGATGTAAGAATATTACGATATCTATTGTATTTCAATTTAGAGCCCTCAGTTTCTTTTACTTTATATTTATAGAACAATTTGTTTTTACGGTTAATGCACTTCAAAAGAGATTTAGTGACCCAGGGCAGTCTGGGCACTTTTTTGTAATTAGAACGCAATGGAATACATATCGGAATATACAGGTTGTATAAATCATCGAAAATTTCAAGGAACCTATTATAACAATCGTTTACATTTTGACAATTATATAATTCAGACCAATCAGTAGAGATAAGACTTTGTCGAAATCGTTCGATGTTCACATGGGGCAAATTACGAAAACCCGACACCTGCTTACTGGAATTACACTGTGAATGAAAATTGGGAATGAAAGCAAACACTGGGAAGTGATCACTCAAGTCGGAAAGTACTATACCAGATTCAATATAAGAAGATACATTTGTAAAAATATTATCGATCAAAGTGTGACTGCTATTTGATATTCTTGTTGGTTTGGTGATTTGGGGAAGAAAAGAATGGGATAAAAGCAAATTTAAGAATTCCAAATACTGAGAATTTGAGTCACACGATAACAAGTTGGCATTAAAGTCGCCCATTATAAAGCACATCTTGTTGGCAATATGAGGTGATGATAAAATAGTCTGAACAATTTCAAGAAATTCAATGAAATTACTTTGAGGTGGCCTGTAGATTTCACCAATAACGATATGTTTTTTACCAGGAACTTCAATCTCTATAAATATGCTTTCAAATAAATCAGACATGATGGTTAAGTCATTAAGTATTTTGGATGCATAATCATTTGAAATATACAAGCCAACTCCGCCGCCAGTTTTGTTTTTCCTGTTATTAGTGACAAGAGTGTAGCCATCAATAAAAAATAGTGAGGAGTTAGATTTAATCCAGGTTTCACAAATACCAATGAATGAACAATCATATTTAATTTTGTCCAGGAGTAGTTGAAACTGGTCAAAATTTTTACCGAGACTTCTGACATTGCATTGTAGAAAAGATAATTTATTGACAGCCTTTGAAAAATGATCAATGAACTGAGATTCTGTAAAATAGCGTGAATGTTTGCTGCCTGACAATGACTCACATGAGTCCATGTTCAGTTGCAACTCAGCAGTGCATAAATTTAAATATTCAGCCGTGTCAGCTTCATGACGAACGTTATCTGTAGTTATGTAAGAGGAGGATGCCTGTGAATTATCAGGTGGTAAAAGTTGTTGATCATTACCAACATTAGATAATAGAGGTTCAGTCATTGATAAAACATGAAGTAACAGGTGAGTAACGGAGAATCCAGTAGATGAACTGGAATGAC